ATTTTAATTTTCTGGGTTTGCAGCTCTGGAGACAAGCGCCTCCCTCTGCAGAGCTCGCGCGTGGTTCAGACGGTGGTCAATGGGACCCTCCCTGAAATGAAACCCAGCCCCCGCGCAGCTCCCCAGGCAGGGTGGGAACAGAAGTAGGTCCTTAATCCGGGTGTTGCCAGAGCGGGACTGTCTGGAAGTGGTTTCACCGGAGCGCAGTGACTGCAAGTCGTTCCAGGTCCTTGTATGTCCTGCTGCGTTTCTAGGCTGTAGCTCTGTTTGTTTACATGCCTGACGAGCATGTATGGCCAATTAACTGCCGGGAATAAAACGAAGTTGTCAAGCAGTGTTTCGCACTATAGCCAAAAATTCATTACGCAATGGATGACTGTACCGTATAGAGGTCACATTCAACAACAAAACCCTAACGCCCTCCAGGCCTTATTTTCAGAGGTGCAGAGCAGGTCCTAAAATTCTCACTCTCTCATCCTGACTGCCTGGGATAAAATCTTTAAAGGCAGGGTTTTGTAAGCATCTAAATCCCACTGGCTTCCAACAAAACTCGGGCTCCCTGTGAAATTATCCAAAGTACTCTAAATGCACACACGCACCCCCCTCCCCACCCCCCGGAGAGCATGCCAGCTATGTCATTATGCTGACTAGCATTACTGGGCAGAAGGACAGTCTCCTGAACTTTTAGCAATGTTTACATGGCCTTGGGTAAACACAGTTGTTTCCAGGTGACTTCAGGAGTTATTCCGGGGCAGATGGAGACGCTGAACTTGCAAAGCCCAACGGCGACTCCTGGAAAGTCTTCTGGCCGCTCCTGGCCCCGTCGCACAGGTCTTTCCTGACATCCCCGGTATGTTTTAAGCGCAGTGCACATCATCCCCTTGACGGCACCGTGTTCTCCCGTATCAGTCCGGCTGGTGGAAGTTTTTGTTCGCCCGGCACAGCCCGATCCTACGGCCCTCGCACGGGCCAGAGGTGGTCCCCAACGAGCGGCTCCATGATGCCGCGACTTGGGAGAGTCATTACCGAGCTTTCCGTGCGTTCGGGATGCAACAGCAAAGAGCCAGCGCCGGTTGTAACAATCCGGACTTATTTTTCACTCGGTGAT